AGTCGAGCTGTGTCGGCCGCGCCCTTTACTTTCGAGCCGCCATGCAGAGAGAATTTACCGCTGTCCTCTCAGATACTGGGCACGGGACTGGCGCGCATGGCGGCGACACAGGTACACGCAAAGAGAATTACTTGTGGCACAAAAACGCCCGGCAGCAGACTAACTCGGCACGGGACCGGCCGCGCACTGGACTGGCACTAACACAGGTACACCACGGGAGCCGCGCCTAAGCGACTCCTGCGAGGACGGCGAAGCTCCGTGCACTCGATCGCCCTCGGCCGCAGGCAAGCTCATTCACAATCTGCCTAGAAACGGGCCGTGCAAGAGAATTTTACAACAAAACTCCCTCGCACGACACTGGGCACGGGACTGGCGCGCACTGGCACTAACACAGGAACACCTGCAAAGAGAATTCCCGCGATATCTCCCCTAGCTGGAGCGCGCAGGATACAACGCGAGCGACGTTGCGCCGAGAGGCGAGAAGCGCGAGGGCAAGAGAAGGGCAGGCTCGGCGCCGTGACGCGTCGCACAACGACGGGCCGATGGGAACGATGAGCACATGCAGAGGATGGCGCGGCAGGAGAGAGAACGACGAGAGTTGGAGAGAGAGAGAGAGAGAGAGAGAGAGAGAGAGAGAGAGAGAGAGAGAGAGAGAGTTAGCAGCAGTACCTTTGTTGACGGAGTTGGACGACCGCGAGGCGGCATAAGGTCGCTGCGAGAGTGAGGCGAGATACTGCGACGAGAGCGGAGTTAGGGAGAGGCAGAGACGCCCCCGAGCAAGAGAACACTCTATGGCGGCAGAGTCCGAGAGAGAGAGGACTGGCGACTGCGAGACGAGAGATTATCGCCGCGGACCGAGGCAGACCCACACCCCGGACGGCGCGCACTCTGCGCGGGCACAAAAGAAACACTAAACACACATTCCCCTATGGAGGGGGGTGCAAAACGGGTGCGTCTGCTGTTCTGACGCCGCGGAGCTGCTCACGTCGATCGAAAAGCTGCAGCAGCTCGCGGCCAGCCGTGGCGCCGCGTGGGACCACATCGTCATCGAGAGCTCGGGCGTTGCCGAACCGCGGGAGATCCGCAACAACCTGCGCGAGGCTCTCGCCACCGACCCAGACGCCCTCAACGGCGCGGCGCTGTCGAGGATGGTGACTGTCGTGGATGCCTCCACCTTCCTACAGCAGTTCGAGCGCCGCCAGGCCATCGGCGACCGGCCCGACCTGGGAGGTGGGGAGAATGTGCCGATGCCCATCCTGGCGGCGCGGCGGCAGGTCGTGGACCTGATGTGCGAGCAGGTGGAATGCGCAGACATTGTCATCCTCAACAAGGCGGACCTCGTCTCGTCGACCGAGCTGCAGCTGCTCACCGAGGCGGTGGCGCGCCTCAACCCGCACGCCGCAGTCCTCGCCACCCAGTTCGGACAGGTCGACCCCGCCTCCGTTCTGAGTGGCGGGATGGTGGGCGGCAGCGTGGCGTCGCTCGACATAGAAAGGGAGCAGTGGCGGCTTGTCCAACTCTCGATTGGCGGCGGCGAGGGAGCGCACGGCGAGGGCGCGCACGGCGAGAGCGAGCATGGCCACGGCGACGGCGCGAACGGGCCCGGACACAGCGAGTGTGCACATGCCCATGGCGAGTGCGGGCACGAGCATGGTGAGCGCCAGCATGGCCACGGCGAACATGGACACGGTCACGGCTCGGGGCGGGCTGAGGCCGACGGCGGCGGGTGCACTGTGGCTGGCTGCAGCAGCCACGCGCATAGCCACGGCCACGCCCACCACCAGCATAGCCACAGCCGCGGCCGGGAGGCGGAGCGCTTTGGCATCACCTCCTTTTGCTACCGCCGCCGCCGCCCCTTCCACCCACGACGTCTCATGGGTGTGCTGCAGCAGCTGCCGGCGCACTTGGACCGGCTCGCTCTCTCGGCGGCGCTACAGCAGCACGAGGGGGCCGACGAGGCGCGCACGGCGTCCGGCCATCGCACGCGACTCTCTCCTTGATCATGCAACCACACGCCCACCTCCACGCCTCTGCTCAGGTCGGCTTCTCCGACTTTGAGGCGGCGCGCACACGAGCTCTTGCACGAGCCGCTGGCCGGGCCGCGCCCTCCGCCGCCGATCCCGCCACCGCTGACGCGTCTCCAATGGCGGCGGTGATTCGGTCCAAGGGGTTTGCTTGGATGCAGTCGGCGCACTGGAAGCGCTTCCTGTGGGCGCACGCAGGCCGCCACGTCGAGGCGCGCGACGTGTCCCCCTCGGGCGCCTGCAGGCCCCTCCCGGCCGGACGATTCCCCCCTGCGACGCAGGTGGCGCCGCACGCGCCCTGGTGGGACGCTGTGATTCGCGACGAGTGGCCGGCCGGCGCGGCGGACGTCGCCGCCATCGAGGCGGACATGGCGGCCGAGTTTGGCGACCGGAGGCAAGAGATTGTCTTTATCGGCGTGCAGATGGACGAGCAGCGCATCACGGCGCCCAGAGGGGGCGGCTTGCCTCCCCGCAAGAGCTGCGCCTGAGCCTTCGCTCCCTTCTTCCGCAGGAGTTGCTGGACGAGAGCCTCCTCACCGACGCGGAGATGCAGGAGTACCGCGCCGCGGCGGCCAACGAGGAGACGCGAGCAGCCAGTCCTCCTCCTCCCCCTCTCCCTGCTCAATCGTGTATGACGCGCGCTGTAGGTGCAAGGCTTGCGTGTTGCGTCATTCTGAGCGCGGCGGGCGGCGACGTGGCGAGCTCGGTGTTGAGCTGCGGGAGGGGAGGACTGATCACGGGAGGTTTTCGTGACTCTAATGTGAAGTTCGCGGAGCGAGTCGGGTCGGCAGACGACGCGCCCGCGCCATGCCTACGTCGGCGAGAGGAGAGAGGAATATTTTTTTTGGGAGCTTTGTTGTAAAATTCTTTTTCTGTCTGTTACTCGGAAAGCACAAGCACTTGGTCTTGGAGCACTTGGAGTGCAGTCATTGACCGCACACATCCCCAGGGCCGGGGGGCTAAGAGCACTCCCAGCGGGCCAGATGATTGGCATCGGGTTACGGGCTAGAGAGCCCTAGCCCTGGGGGGTGGTGTACGTTCGCAGGGAAAGAAAGGGCCGTAAAATAAACACGGGTCCGAGGGTTAGCCCCGCGTACCGGGTTTCCCCTTAAACTGCAGAACGCCCCCTCTACTCTCGGAGTTAGTGCTCAACCGCTCCTTCCACGCCGCTTGCGGCGGTCCTATTCCCAGCTCCCTTGGGTTTTTCTTGACTATGTAAGCAAAATGTACGTATGCTCACGCGCTTGGGCGTCGCCGTGCGCCCACGGCTGCCGCGCTCGGCCGCGGTCTCGACGGCGGCGGCCGCTGAGGTCGGCGGGGCCATCGACTACACCTCCTACCTCACTCGCCGCAGTCGGTCCCGCAGGCCTTCTGCGATTCGCGCGCTGCAGCCGCTCGTGGCGATGCCCGGCATGATCTCGCTTGGTGGCGGGATGCCCAACCCGTCCACGTTTCCCTTCGCAAAGCTGACCGCCGAGCTCACGGATGGGACGTCGGTGGAGCTGAGCGGAGCCTCTCTCGAGGCGGCGCTCCAGTACAGCCCGACGCAGGGCCTGCCCGCGCTCGTGGCGCACCTCGAGCGGCTGCAGGACGATGAGCACGGCCGCGCGAGTGAGGACCGACAGCTCTGCGTCACGACGGGGAGCGCCGACGCGCTCTCCAAGGCGTTCGACGCCCTCCTGGTCGAGGGCGACGCGCTCCTCGTCGAGTCGCCCACGTACTCGGGCTCGCTCGCCTACCTGCAGCCGCTCGGCTGCCGGCTCGTCGGCGTGCCGTGCGACGGCGCCGGGCTGCAGCCGGCGGCGCTCGAGGCCGTGCTGGCCGGGTGGGACGAGGCCAGCGAAGGGGCTCGCCGGCCTCGCGTGCTCTACACGATTCCGACCGGGCTCGCGGCCCCTTCTTTTTTGGGCCACGCGGCCAGGGCCCGTTCGTCACGCGTCCGCGCAATTCCGCAGGAGCAACCCGACGGGGGCGTCGCTCGACGCGGAGCGGAAGCGCGACTTGTACGCGGTCGCGCGGCGGTACGGCCTGATCATTCTGGAGGACGACCCGTACTACTGGCGCGCAACTCTGGCGTGGATGGTGCTCTGGAGGCGCAGCGGTGGTGTGCACGGCGTCTGCTTGTGAACAGGCTGCAGTTTGGCGCCGCGCGCACGCCGTCGCTCCTCTCGATGGACGTCGACGGGCGCGTGCTGCGCTTCGACTCGACGTCCAAGCTGCTCGCTTCGGGCGCCCGGGTCGGCTGGGCGACAGGCTATACTATTCACAGCTACACCTATTCACAGCTATACTATTCACAGCCCGTCTCGGCTGGGCGACAGGCCCGGCGCTAACCCTAACCCTAACCCTAACCCTAACCCTAACCCTGACCCGTGTTGGCTGGGCGACAGGCCCGGCGGCGCTGATCGAGCGGCTCGAGCTGCACACGCAGGCGAGCAACCTGCACACGTGCGGCGTGGCGCAGGCGCTCGTCGCAGCGCTCTTCGACGTGTGGGCAGAGCGGCACGGCGGCGACGCGTCCGCCGGCTTCGCCTCGCACATGGACGGCGTGGCCGACTTTTACAAGGAGCGGCGCGACGTCTTCATCGACGCGGCGGAGCGCCACCTGGCCGGGCTCGCAGACTGGTCCGTCCCGACGGCGGGCATGTTCTGCTGGATGCGGCTGCGGGGCGTCGACGACTCGCACGCTCTCATCTCGGCAAAGGCGCGCGACGCCAAGGTGCTGCTGGTGCCGGGGCAGTCCTTCATGCCGTGCGGCTCTGCGTCGCCGTACGTGCGAGCGGCCTACTCGACGGCGTCGCCCGAGCAGATCGACGAGGCGCTCCGGCGGCTCGCGGCGCTGCTCCGCGATGCAGAGGGGGCGAGGAGCGACTAGCCGCCGGCCACACAGCCCACGGCCACGCCGACGCGCACACAGCAGTCAGCACATCTCCACAGACCACACACTCACAGCTCACACCCACCAGACACACTTGTCACTTAGTACCCCGCTCCCCCTGCCGCTCCCGGCGCCCGCGCCCGTCGTGCGCGTTGGGGTGGAGAGAGTTTGATAACGACTAACGAACTGAAGAATTTAATTTGCATTTCTCCGCGGAGAGGTGAAGTGCGCATCCTGAACCGCCCTCTTATATAGGTCTTTACACTTTAGCGCGATAGGGTGGTCCCGATGGAGTAGTATGAGAGATCGTTGTCGAGGTCCAGTGTTTCGAAGAAGTTGGAGGACTCGAGGAACGGGCGCGACGTCGGCAGGGCCGTGCAGACGCCAGGAGCTGCGCCGGCCCCGGTGCTCTTTTTACGAGACGCCACACATCGTCACATGTGACATGATTACACATTCAAACGCATCGTAGCCCCCAGGAGAGGACGCTTAATCTACGCACGACCAGCATAGCTTCCATAGCAGTACACGACCGCTGTGCGTCGCGAGGACCCCTGCACACCATGAGCATGTGCATGCTGCACACGACGAACCCGCACGAGCGACGGCAGTCCGGTCGGGGTCGACAACTACCCTACGCTGGTGCTCTTCCGCCCCGTACGCGCGAACTTGATCGCCTCGGCGTGCACGGCGGCCGCGCGGGACGGCGGGGCTGCCCCCTCGCCAGCCGGCTCTCTCCGCACCGCGTTTCGGATCGCGATCTGCATGTGAGCCAACTCTGCGGCGAGCGCCTCCCGCTCCTCGGGCAGCTCCGCCGCCGCCTGGGCCGCCGCCCTGCCCGCCGCCGACACGCGCTCTCCCTCCGCCCGCCGAGCCGCTGCCGCCGCCTCAAGCGCCGCCTCGACGGCGCGTGCCTGCGCCGCCGCCGCCTGCGCCGCCGCCGCCTCGAGCGCCGCACTCACTGCCGCCGCCTGGCGCTGCGCAGCCGCCTCCTCGGCGGCCGCGAGGGCCGTGCCGAGTGCCGCCCGTGCCTGGGGCGGGGAAGGGAGGCGGGTGAGCAGGGAGGAGCCGCAGGAGAGCCTGAGAGAGGAGGCGTCCGCGAGAGGAACGGCCCGAGAGGAATGCCCGTACGAGGGGCAGCCAGACAGGGGCAGCCAGACAGGGGCAGCCCAAGCGCCTCCTCGGCGGCGCGCAACTCGGCCGCCTCGACCGCTCTCTGCTGCGCGCGGCTCGCAACCTCGAGCGCCGCCACCACCGCCTCGCGCTGCCGCACCGCCGCCGCTCGGTCGGCCGCCGGCGCCGCTTCGGCCGCCT